AAATTGAAACTAATTCAGATAATTTAGAATATTTACGACTTTAAAAAATTATTGCTAGATCTGAAGAATTATTTCAATGTGAAAGAAGAATTCTAATTATTATAAAATAAATTAAAACATAAATATTATTTAGCAAAAATAGAAATGATATACAACTATTTTCGAATAGATTTATTAGATGTTAAGTGATTACAAAGATGTTTTGCAGTAGATATTGGTTCTATGTCCGACCATTTTATGTGTGAGAACGTTCGAAATTAAATTAACCAGAGAGGCTTGTGTATTGCTTGTTTTATAGAGCAGTCCTTTATATGGCATTAAGTCAGAAGCTCTAGCAATGCCCATAGACAAGATCGTGGATTTCCTACCCTTAAGATGAATAGACGGAATGATTACAATTCAGGATGTAGTTGATTAATCACTAGAGTTGAATTTATCCATTTATCCACAGGGATATCTATGATTACACTATATCTACACTAAGAATAACAGTTGCAAAAAATGTATCAAGTAGAATCCGATTTTGAAATGCAGTGTAGTATGTATGTATTCATACTGACAGGTCTTAATTATTGACTTATGTAGCCGAAACGCAAACACATTGTGGCGAGCGACCATAGGAAGATTTATGGATTTAGTTTGTAAAGTATGATGATTCGTCTTGTATTGGTAAAAAATGTCACATCTTTCTTACCGTTGGCGGGTTGATAATATAGACAGAAGCTTTAAATTTCGGAACTTCATAAAACTTAAACGAAAACAGCAATTTTTCGTAAGACAAACTGCTCTCAACAGGGCAGTTATGTCATTCCGGGCGATTTATCCGAGACCACTGGATGCAGACGGTGCAGGTCTATTTGTCAAGTCATACACGTACTTGAACTTAGTTTATTTCACATTTTAGTGCACCGGTATACATGTGAGAGGCGGCGTGGGCGGCGTCGCTTTCCGAAAAGGGTCCGTCTGGAGTAATCTCACGTACTTCGGCCCTGCGAGGGAAAGAGCAGGAAACCCAAGGATCCGAAAGTCATTTGGATCAATTAAACAATCATTACGAACCGAAATAATAAAACCGATAGGGATGAAAATAATGGAAAAAGAAAGAAGAAATACGAGGGAAAATTAAAAAAAAAAGAGGAACGTATATATTTGAAGATAGAGAGTCGAAAAAGGGGTTGGCTTTAATTAAGACTTTTCCTAAACCGTAATCCGGCATAAATTAGACTAATCCTTCCACCGAAAGCGTCGGGGTTTATATATTGAAATGTAAACGAGCGAGCCGAGTTTATAAGATTATGAATTATTAAATGTGTCCGCACGACTGCTTATTACAATGGCAGCTCTTGTCCTGAATGTCGTCTCCTTTTTGTTTCTTCCTTTTGCAGTTCCTCTCTCTTACGCGTCTACTTTGCATATGCATAACATTTCCAGGCAGTTTCTTTTCATAATAGTGTTTGCATGCTACTGCACTCAAAGAACTTACGATGCGTAGTTAACATTTTATACATGGCTGCATTTACACAGCTCAGAAATAGGGAAGTGGAGAAGGAGTAGACACTTTCTTATTCTTCTTGGATGTACCAACACTTAAAATTATATGAAGGATGAATTTTGACAGACAGATGATTTTCAATTTTAAGGCATTAATAAAATCAATATCAGAACAACCATTTATATACTTTTATATTTGTACCAAAAAAATAAGAAGTGCATAATTTCGTTCATTCAAGAAATATAAGTGGATAAAAAAAATGTACAGGGTGATTTGGATAATGGAGTTGACGATTTAAGATACGTGATGCTGCGAGGGATGTTTTTGTATGTCTTGTTCGTCTCCATTGCTCCACTGTGTGCGAGCACTTTTTTTTCGCTCATCGCGTTCGCTTATTCAGGGTGCGTTCAACATTTAAATGTCACATTCTTCGCAAGGACAATGCTCGTTTCGCTAAATTATCCATTTCGTCCCCCCACACCCGTAAAATGTCGACACGGGGGGAGCGAAATGATAATAAAAAAAATAATAAAAAAAGGTTAATTAGAGGGTCACCGAATATTCAAGTTCTCTTCTGCCATATCTCCCGTGGTTCCCTTTAGATACTTAAAATTCGACGTTGGCATTGTGCTTAACACATGTTTGACTTTCATAAAGAAAAAGTTAATTAAACTTTCGTCAATAAATGTACTTGTAAAATAAGTCTATTTAATTTAAAAGAAAATTATTTGTTAATGGAAAGTCAACAAAATAATAAGTTGCAGGGTCTCATGCATTGAAGAAAAAAATAATTTTACAAATTTTAAATAGTTTATTCGATATTTTTTGGATTTTTCATTATAACAAAAACAGTTTGTTTATTCTTTATATTTTTTAATTAATTATCTTGCATTTAGATTAATAATAATTGTATATCTTGTGAGAAGACAAGAAAATAAATCAACGTAAATGTAACATTTAATTATAAATTGAAGATAAACGATAAGGCATTTTACAAATCTCTCGCTTTGCACGTTTCCCCCTTTTCTTCTGCGACGTTTTGTTCTTCAGTGTTTTTCTTTTCCGTTCATGCATTTTAAAATGTACGTTTATATCCGCAGTAATTCTGATCTGTATCTTGATTAAAAACTAATTTGAAATTTAAAGTGGAATTGGAAGAGTCTCAGCGACTGGAAAAGTGGAGAGAAAAAAAGCGGAGGAAAAAAAAGAACATGGGAAAAGAATGAGCGGAAGGGGGAGAGTAAGAATGAATTAGAGAGCGTAATTGCTTAATTTGTTGGCTGTTCTATGCATATGGAGCAACGGGATGAAGTAGCCAAAACCACCCTGTTTCTCTCGTTCCATTTTATCCCTCCTGTCTCTTTCTATCAGGCGACATCCATATTGTCTTATTAAGCTGGAACGAAGCAGTGAGAGAAAGAGCGGAAGAATAAAAAGGATGGGGAAAGAAAAGAATAAAATAGACACTAACTTTTTATCGTTGCGAGTGGGAAGATATATGCAGTATAAATAAATGATCTCTATTTATCTCCGCCCGCAACTATCGTTTCTCCCCTAATATATTCTTCCTCTTGCTCCTTTACTCCTAGCCTTTCATTTGAACCTTTTCAACGTTTCACGCCGTGACTGTTTCTGGCTTACATTAATCAACTTTTAATTAAAACGATTTAAAAGTTCCAATGATATAATAAAAAAAATCAAACTACATTATTAGGTACTTATAACTGTATAATTTGGAAATTTCATTTAAAGCTGTATTGTAGATATTTGATTGAGTATTTCCCAAAAGTGATTTTCTTAAGTTAGATAATAAAAATATAAGTGTCAAGTAGATTTATCGGTAAAAAGTGTGTGTAAAATGCAAGCCTATCTTAGAATCGGTTCATAATTCTTTAAAGGACGAGTTGAGAATACTCTTTATATTTAAAGGTCCTTTTAAATCCTCTTATTTGTGTTGTACCAATGGAAATTACTGAGACGGTTATACAATTTTCTTTAACAATTTATTTAATTTCGATATTTATTATTTTTATTGATTTCCTTAACTTAATAACTAGTATGTTTGCAAATTATTATTTTATTCCGGTACATTTCCTTATATTATAGTAATTATATCCCAGAATTAGATTATAAAAATAAATTATTGAGAGAATTTATTTTCATAACAATTAAGTTAATATTTCTTTAACAAAACGTTAATTTTCAAATTGCTATTGTTCCGTTACATCTAGAAATGTAATAGAAAATTGATATACAAACTTACAATATTTAGATAGATATATAATAGGACATTTCAGTTGTAATGATAACAACGATAAATACCTATTCTCATTTTAATTTTGCTTTTGGATAACATTCAAAATCAATCGGAATTGAAATCCGAATGGAAATCCAAACCCCTGGAATCAATACCGAAAATTAAATTCTCCCGAACGCTCTCTATTTCGCTGTTTAATAGGTTCCGAATTGAACCGTAAATTTTGTAAATAAAATATCTTTTCCCCCATTATTCAACCATCTGGTCGGAACAGGAAAACGGCGCACAATAATTATTCCAATTCTAACTCATTCCACTGTGCAATTGTACACATTACGTAAACGTTTTCTATTTATGAAATGATATTATTATTGTTCGAGAGAAAAACGCATTTCGTAATGAATGAACGCATTGAAATGTCTGTACAATTAATTTTCGTTTATATAAATATGGAATTGACTTATTCTCGAAATTATATGTGTCTCGAAATACAATGTGTTATCAAAATAATAAATAAAAAGTACACAAAGTATCTTGCATACTTTTTTTTTGTTACATTTCAGATATTAAATAAAATATATTTGATAATACGCTTGAAAATTACTTACAAAATTAACATTATACATTTTATTTCGCCTTTCAAAATAAATTAAATAATTTGGTAAACTTCAAATTCCCGATTAATATATTTGTTTGTTTTGATATTCGTTATGTATGAAATAAAGATCCCAATTTTCGAATTCTCCTGTTTTACAAAATAGCAAAATTGGAATGTGTTATGACGTTTCTAACATTCAAAGAAATAATTTTTACTTTGCAATTTTTATATTCAGTTTTTATGTATTTATTTCCACTTTTACGAAAGGATTAAATATTTTGACATATAAACATTTTACAAATAATGAAATAATTCGTAAATTGGAAACCACCTAAAAAGAAACCACCTTTCTTATTGAAAAAAATAATTAACAATTAAACATATTATCGTATTTTTCGGATCATAAGACGTATTTTCTTTGTGGTGAGAAATTGACCAGGATTTGTTGCTTTAAAAAAATAATTCTAGAAATTGAATTTGATGTGCGTGCTATCATTCAAAAAATACGGTAGTTAGATACATTTTATATTAACAAAAATACTTAAATATTGAGTATTTCTATTAAGAAATTTACTTTTTGGATGATTAATAGATCAAAAGAAAGTGTAGGTAGAACATATGTGTGCACGAAATGAGTTCTATCTGAAACTTACCTTTATGAATCGTTTTGCTTTAGTGAGAAGACCTAGGGTTGTATGTCTAGAAGCTTCGGGTCCCAAGGGTACCATTTCCTTGAGCTTCTCTAGGCAGGTTCGCAGGTGTGCGCGTCTGCAACAACGAAACACACTTTACTTACAATTTCCATGTACTGTTTTCGTTGTTGTTACACCTTATGCAATCGTGCAGCATACAACATCTGTTTTCTCACCAAGAGCATGATACAAATGACATAAAATTAATAAAAAAAAACAACAAAAATAAACGAAATCGACAATATGCAATAAAAGGAATGAAGTCTTTTGAGTAATAAATTAGAAAGATAAGAACAGTTGTGCAGGACTCCATATGTTTAATACTGAGTATACAAATCGTAAGAAATGACAGAATTCTAATAATATTTTACAATCATGGTAATAATAATTTCTGTATTCATAAGCGAGGGTTAACATAAGAGTATACATTATGGTTATTATTAGAGGTTATCGTTAGAGCTACGTTTCGAGTTGTTCAGACCGGAGGAAATATAAACTCGGAGGTGTAAATAAAGGTAAACGAAAGACATAATAGGAGGCAACATTTCAATCGTGTGCTAGTGTTTAGTGGCCTAGAAGAGGCCATGGGGCATTTCGTAAAATGGTCTGCAAGTAAATGTGAATGTAGTGCATATGTTGCAGACTAGTTGCTAGAGTACAACATCGGAGCGGCGCAGGACAGGACAGCAGGTTAATAGTATTTATGTCTAGGATTAGATATGTAGAAACCATATTTATGTGACGTGTCCGAGCGTGGAACAAGGTTCTGGTTCTGCTGCTTCCTTTTGGAGAGCCAAGCCTAACGACAACCGGTCGCTCTACCGCGCCATCGATTGCTTCCTCGTCTGCTCTCCTCCCTTTCTGCTGATCCATGTATTATTTAGAAACAAAGACTAACAAATAAGTAAATCCACGTCACTCATATTCGCAGGATCCGTTTAAAATCAAAGGAGTTCCACACGAAGCTTATTTATTCATGAACGAAATGAAAAGAATATGAACAATCAATGCCCGTTGAATAACTGAGCGGCGGCACCAATTTCCAGAACTGAATTTAAATCCAATTTTGTTTGATGTTGCCTTTTTCATTTTACTCTTCTTTTCATCGCTCCATTATAACCAACATAATACGGGTTAACTCAGATAGAAAAAAAAACTACACAAAACGGGTAACAATGGCGCGCATGTATTTCCGTATGATTTTCGAGCCATTAAACGTTTGAATTATTCATAGCTCTTCCACAGTCATATAACCAACACATACACTAACGTAGTCAGTAACTAAAACTACCTGATTCATATATTTTCAACATATATAATGAATGATCTAAATTCAATTGTTTACCATAATGATTGCTGCCCTTCAAAGTATAACTAATCCTTAATTGATTTATTGTAAATATTACAGACTAGTTTTTACAATAATAATATATTTATAGTAGTAACATAGATGAATTACGAAGAGAAATATTGTTGGAGGTGTTGATAATTCAAATTTCAACGTAATCTTTCAAAGTATAACAAATCGGAACTTTACATTTATTTTTGAATATGTTAGATCTAATAATGGTTATAATAAATATAAATAAACTAGTGGTAACATGGATGTATTGCGCAGAGAAATATTGTTGGAGGTGTTGAGAATTCAAGTTTTCCCATTATAAAAATGTCGCGAAGTTTCTCCTCGGTAAATTATTCGGGTAGCCGGGCAAAAGCACTTCAACGAGCGTCCTATTTCCTGTTGTTTCAACTTTTTCCTGGGGCCCTTCTTCGCATTTAAGCGTGGAATAAGTATGAGCAACTTCAGATTTCTCATCGAGGACACAATTATTCTCTCTCTCTCCACTTTCGGTTTGTTTTCCAATTATTCTAAATTCAATTCAATTATTCAATAACACAATTATCTATCGTACGATTCCAGTCTACTCAAGTCGATTTACTTTTTATAAGCATTTTATATGTTCAAAAATAATAGTACTTATTTCTCTAAAATATATATATAACTAGAGAAATATATGTTATGTTATACTTCTTATAAATTCTATAAGACATTATACAAAAAAGCCTAAGTATGCTGCATAATTCTGAATATATTTAGCTATTATTTCTTGCGAGTGTGCCCTTACAGTGTACATGATTTATGTAATAACTTAAACACATGTTCTATCTCTTTTTGTTTTCAAATTATAAATAAAAAAATGTTTAGAATTGACAAACAAACAGGAACATGCCTCAAACTTTCTGAATGTTATATCTGTAAGTATATATATTTTTTTGTGTTCCTCTTCCTATACGGGTGGCCATAATACTGATTTATATATCGTTCTATATTGTATTTTATGAGCGATATGTTGTGTGTTTTTCACTACAATCGCCGCCATTCCGTGCATCCGTTTCCTATAAAACAATATTTTCAATTTATTTAAATGCCCATGTTCCGAATACCGTTATTGTGTCTACATGCTTTTTTATGACTCCATACTCAACATTAATCACTGGAAAACTCATTCCCGTCAACCAAATCACCAATTGCTATACATAAAACAATAACCAAAAATAGCTTTTATTTCATAAACTTAATCACGATATTTATCGCTAAAATCTTTAGCGACATAACATTATATGTAAACATATAATTGTTTATAAATCAAACTTTTATTTACTGATTTTTCGAAAAATTAAACTAAATAAATTTACTGATATTCGATAGATGTATCTCATTTTCCAATCTAATCTTAAAGTATAATCACATCTCTAATATTATTGTATTCAGTATCTTTTTCGCCTTATTATCCGGTAGTTGTACATTCGCAAAGTATTTCTTTTTATGCCTTCTACGATTGGAAACAACATCAATCTCTTTTCGTAACTGAAATTAGTTTCTTTTACGAATTTTATGTACATTATTGAAAAATAAGTTCCTCGTGTCCTTCAATATTGAATCGTAATCCTTTGCATTTAATATTATTTTAATTCTATATTTGTAGAACATATCATAGCATTAGTACTGTATACATATCCACATAATAATATTAATGTTATTGTCTTTTTCCACGAGATCCATCATAAATGTATAGAATATTAAAATTAAATATTCCTTCAATTAAATATTTAATCCCAATCACCCACCCGAGAACCAACTGTCATATTGTGGGTATTTTTATATACGAGTAAATATCCGGAAATTTTGGAACAGATTAAACTCGTTAAGCGAGGTTCCACTGTATATGGGATATTATGAACGTAAGAATAAACGCAAAAGAACCTTCCTCTTCGCTGGATAAAAACTAGCTTTTTATGCATGACGTTTACTCGATGAAGAACGAGAACTGCAAACGGAGGACAAGCAGCAGAGTTAGCATCCGTCCCCCCATGTACAATTAATTAGCGTCGTACATTGAGCGAGAACTAATGTCATGTTCACATTACGCGAACACTACGCTTTTGTCTGCACACTCCGTAATGCCATTGTACTTTGATTCATTGTACTCTGCACAATCAGCGATATCATGTTATTGATATTTTTTATTATTATTATATGTATATATCTATATATACGAGTACAAAGAGAATGAAACTAGGCGGAAATACTTACAATAGTAATTGCAACCGACGTCTATCGATCTCCTTTCCTTTCTTCCTTCCTATACAGCCATTCCTGGCTTCTTAACTATTTACGCTTCCGACACGGAAGGGAATATAGTAATTCTCCGAGACATTTTGTACAGTAACTAACAGGAGCAAAAAATAAATAAAATCTTGTTATATTTAATGATAATATCAACTATGTTATTTTAATTAGCTTCGGTATGCTTTATTAACATTTGTAAGCTTATTATTTGTGAGATGTCACCAATAAAAAAAGTATATAAGCTAAAATTTAATTTACATTAATAACAATAGTCTTTGAGCAACCTAAAATCACCATCCCGTTATTAATAATTCTTAAGAAATAAAATAATATTTTATAGTAATTTATTGTTATTGGCTTTTTTGTTTATTTTTATTTTGAATACATTTTGTTATAGTTTTATATAATATTCTTGAATTTTTTTAAGTTTTGTTTTTATGTAATTTTAATTTGATACATTTTTTAAATTTTGTATATATTAAATAAATAGAAAATAAGTCGTAAAAATCCTTTCTCTCTATTTTTTGTAATAATTCTAAAATTGGTTTTGTAGAAAAGTTGAGATTCGAAAACCGGTTTTTTGCAGTAAACAATAAATATTTTGGTCGTAAGATTTTTCCTTCATAACTGACTTACGTTTATAGTAATTTTTTTGATAAAAAAGGATAAAATACCTCTAATAATAAATGTATATATATTATTTCAGATAAGAAATAGATAAAAGAAGAAGACAAAATAATAAACGTGTTAATTTTGTGCGATTATTTTCTCTTCGTTCTTGATAACTCAATTTTATAAAAGTACACAAAATAACAACCAAATTGATATTTGTTTATTTTTCCGCAGCCGGCTGCATTCATAATGTAAAATTTATGCATTCCTCATTTCAATTTTAGCAACCACATCATCCCCGAGGAATGCGAGCGAATGGGATAAAATACCATGCAATGTACACTGTGCGCTAATACTATCTATCTATTTGCATTCCATGGGACTCCGGTCTATTTATTACTTCACAACATTTTCAAACAACAAAATGGATTACGAAATTTAATTTCATATATTAAAAACGCATTCGCGTAAAATACCAAATTCATTGTACCAAAAATCAATACCATAAATCATTTATTTATTTATTACGAATGTGTTTGCTTTTAAGCTCGTTGTATGAACATTTAATTAATTAAAAAAAAGTAGTATTTTTAAAAAGCTTTCCATTATTTGTAAAATATTCAATTTTATATTTTAGTATTATATTTTTAGTTATTTATATGAAATCCATTATTTATTTCTATTGTTTCAAAATATCTGTTAGTCAGATTTTTCCTCACATATTCACATATACGTTAGTATAATTTTCTGTGTTATAGTTATTTTGTCTTGAATTGTATTGATTGAAGAGCACAAAATGTATACTACGTCAAATTAATTTAACAATTAGGAAC